AAACTTACCGCTCCAGTCTTCTCCAGCTATCTGCGGAACTAAGTAAGAGATGTGTAGTTGGGTAGCAGTGATGGGTGCAAAGTTCCTGCAACTTGCACGTGCAAAGTTTGCCGCCTGGGTGTTTTGGCGTGCTCAGCAGCAATTCCTATTGGCTTTCGAAAGCCAATAGGGGGAGTAGCACAGCTCAGGCAAAAGTTGAAAAAAACCATCAAAAAAAGGTCCCGGAACGCCTTCTGGGTGTTCTATGAGGGAAAAAAAGCCCTGCAGATAAGTCTTCAAATATAGAAAAAGAGGACATTTAGGAGGACATTTTCGAGGGAGGACAGAACTCACAAAAGGAGGACTGTCCTCCCAAAAGGAGGATGGTATATGGAAAAGGAGGACATTTAGGAGGACACTTTTTGAGGGAGGACAGAACTCAAAAAAGGAGGACTGTCCTCCCAAAAGGAGGACGGTTGGTCACCTTAGTTCTTCTGTTTTATAAGAAGAAGAACACAGAAGAACACTGACATTCACATCTCCTAAACTCTGCTGAAGATGTTACCTAAACTGGTAACAACCCATAAGCTCGGAGAACAAACCTTCACCTTCATCCTACACCCGAACTATAGATATTTGCCACTATTGCAAACTATTCTTCTTGTTGAAGAAATTCTTGTTCAATCAGGCATTTACAGGATTAACAATGGGCTCTAGGACCAGATAAATAACCTTTAACTGAACCGGTTATTTATTTTGCTTTTCTGCTTTGAAATTATTGGCATATGGCAATCCTTGGCCAATCTTGTCTGGGTTTGGAAGCTAAGCAGAACTAGGCCTTGGTGGATTTTTAACATTAAAAAAAAAACAAACAAAAATGTTTGGATTCAACACTAGTTAATGTTCCTCCATAAACTGTCTGTGAGACCAAACTTCAACAAATCATTTCAAGACTTATAATGAACAACCATCATCATTTTTAAGAAGCGCATTATGTTCAGTGCACATCTGTAACACTGGACTAAGCTTCAGTTTGCCAGAGAATTTCAAGTTGGATATAGATTTGTGTAGACATGGGTTGATGTTTTTTTTTAAAAAAAAATACAATTTAATGCAGGGTAGTTTCAAAACCATGGCTGGTGAATTCCCCGCCATCTTTTCCCTTTCCTGCCAGCAGAAAAACCAGCCATCCCTTGTCTCCTGAATGTGTGTGTGGGGGGGGGAGTGTTCAAGCCTTTACTTTTATCATTTATTCACCCACAAATTTTATTATTTGTTGTATGCTTCTTCTGGCAGTACTATCAATCTCCCAGGACTGATAGCCCTATCAAAGAAACAGAAGATCTATATAACTGTGTCAAACAAACCTTCTGCCAGGAGCCTGCCTGAATGATTGGAGGAGCTGTTTGTGAAACAGAAAAGCAGAGCAGCCTGAACCAAAAAACCTTCCATGCTATTGTGCCTCTGGATGTTTCTTGCCTTCCTCAAAGCCAGTTTCTCTCTCAGATTGTTTTGGTGAGGCGAAGATCCTAGTCCTGTCTCTCCCACTTCACATTCCAGCTGGGTCTGTATTTCTGTGCGTCTTACCTGCTATCAGGTGTAGATTTAATTATATAAGAAATCCCCGGAAGTGTGAACTGATGTCATCCTGGTTGTTGTGCGTGTTTATTAAAACATAGGCTGGTGATAATCATATGTTGTGTGCGTGTTCCAATAATGAAAGAACCAGAGATGAATCTGGGGAAAAATTGTGGAACATTCTGAATGAATTCCTTCATATTGGTATGCTTTTTTATTATTAAAAAGTTTTTATTTTCCATTTATTCATCATACAAAATACAAGATACAATTTACAAAATAAAATAAATTCATGACCATTGGTACCGCCTGCCCATTCCCCCCAGGCTGCGTCCACCCTCTCTAAACCTTCCCTATTTCCCTCCTCTTTCTCTCCTCCCCTCCTACTCTCTCCCCTCCCCTCCTCCTCTTACCATCCTACTTCCTCTCTTACCATCCTACTTCCTCCCCTCACATCCCTCTCAGACACATGAACGCAGCATAGGGGAAATGCCCAAGCAGCACCTCTCTCATAAACTACCATATCTATATATCCATATTGGTATGCTTATGCTTATCATTATTCTGTTGCTTTGCATATACAGGTAGTCCTCGACTTATGACTACAATGGAGCCCACAATTTATGTTGCTAGGTGAGAAATTTGTTAAGTGCGTTTTGTCATGTTTTACTACTTTTCTTGCCACGTTTGTTAAATGAACAGCTGCAGTTGTTAAATTAGTAACACCGTTGTTAAGTGAATCTGGCTTCCCCATTGACTTTGCTTGCCAAAAGATCACAAAAGCTGATCACATGACCCTGGAACACTGCAACTGTCATAAATGTGAGTTGTCACACATCCAAATGTAAATCACATGACCATGGGGGTGCTGCAAAGGTCGTAAGTGTGAAAAATGATCATGTCACTTTTTTTCAGTGCCGTTGTAACTTAGAATGGTCACTAAATGAACTGTTGTAAGTCGAGGACTTTCTGTACATTGAGAGCTTCTGCACTAGAGACAAATTCCTTGTGTGACTAATCAATTCGATTCAATTCAATACCATAGTCAGTTGTTTGGTGTTTTGTGCACTTTTGTGCACGGGTTGAGCCAATCCCCAAAATGGATAAATTCAGGAACCAGGTTTTATGTGTTGTGTGAACTCAACCAAGGTTACTCTAAGTACAGATTACAGTACCAGTCAGGGAAATTCTGGGAATTGAAGTCCATACATCTTAAAGTGGCTGAGGTTGAGAAACACTGAAGTACAGATTACAGTGTATTATTACAGTGCCTCAGGTTAGGTTAGATGCTTGTTAATTTAATAATCTTGTTGGTTAATTTCTTGGTAATAATATATTGTAAAAGAGGTTTGTCGTTGCCTTCTTGTAAGAACTTCCACATCCAAATAACAGCCACTTTTGACCCTTATCTTCATTTTAGTATAAAACAGAATTTCTTTCCTGCTTTAAAATCAAGGGAAATGTAACTGTATCTTTTTCAAACACAGTAACATACTTTATTAAACAGCCAAAGTTTTATAAGCTTCATTTCACTTCATCAAATATGATTTTCTGCTACTGTAGGCTAGCCCACCTCTCCTCTTATACTAATTCTTGTAGAATTGCATTAAACTTTTCTGTAAATTAGGATTTATTGTATTTCATTAGATGTGTGGGGTGTTACTTTAGGTTGCTAGACTTCATATAATTGTGGGACTGTTTGTATTTATAGCTGTGAGAAGTTTTATATCAAAATATAAAACTTAAGCAGGAGATATATAAAAATATAAAGCTCAACCAAAAGACAGGTGACTGTCCAGTCTGTTCTTAAAAGCCTTCAATAATGCAGCACCCAGAACTTCTGAAGGCAAGCTATTCCACTGGTTGATTGTTCTCAATGTTAGAAAATTTCTCCTTAGTTCTAGGTTGGATATCTCTTTGATTAGTTTCCATCCATTGTTTTGTGTCCTGCCTTCTATGCTTTGGAAAATAAGTGGAATTTCTCCCCTTTCCCTCCTCTTCTTTGTGGCAGCCCTTCAAATATTAGAACACTGTTATCATGTCTCCCCTACTCCTTCTTTTCTCTGGACTAGCCATACCCAATTTCTGCAGCCGTTCATCACATGCTTTAGTCTCCAGACCCCCAATCTTCTTTGTTGCTCTTCTTTGCACTTTTTCCAAAGTCTCAACATCTTTTTTATAATGTGATGACCAAAACTGGATGCAGTATTTCAAGTGTGGTCTTACTAAGGCTTTGTAAAGCAGTACTAGTACTTCACGTGATCTTCAATCTATCCCTCTTTTTAATGCATCTGAGGATTGCATTGGCTTTTTTGGCGGCTGCCACACACTTGTGTGTGTGTGTGTACTCTGTGCCAAACATGTTTGATAGGGTGTCAGATTGAAGCTGGATGATTGCAATTTGCTTTCCTAGGGGTGGTCCTTGAAGATTGCTCCAATATGGGAGAAATGCACACACCCCCCCCCCGGTGTGTTGGTGAGCAGGAGTCATTTTGATTGTGTAACACCAATTCTAGGGACACTGAAGGGGGAGTTTATTAATTATAACTACAATGACCCTATAGCCTTTATTTGAGAAAGTTGTTCTTTAAATATAATTTAATTATTGATTTTCTTGGTTTTGCTCGAGTTTTCCTTTGTAAAGCAAAGTTACAAACATAGTATTTTTTCCCTATCCTTATGAACCTCTTTTAGTTTTGCCCCATTTTAGGTCTGGCTTTTATTTTTTCCCAAGAAAATATGGTCACTGTACTTCGTAAGTTTGTACTTTATTTGTATATTGCATTTTAGTCCTAATTTTTGTAATGCTCTACTTAGCTTTTTAAAAAATTATTATTCAAGTTCGTATGTATATCTAATGCATTTATATAACTATCATATTTTAACTTACTGCATTTTGTACAAATGAGTCCCATATTTCATTATATTGAATTAGATAATTATATATAGAATTGTATTTATTTATTTCATTGTTTTTATTGTCACTCCAATATAAGATCACACTGGGAGACTTAGAATTTTAATTACTTAGAGCTAAAATGATATATTATACAGGTAGTCCTTGAGTTACAACTGTAGTGGATCCTGCCCATCAAGGGCATAACTCGGGACAGTTATAAATAGTGTCATCCACATGACTAACCTGAACATTGTTGGGATATTTTAAAGGGCTTTGCAGATGGGTTCCCACCCAAGGGGGCATTTTTAGATTAGGTAGGGCCTTAGGACCTGTGTTCATAACTTATTGGGCCACTATGTGGAAGTGGTTCACCCTTGTATCTTCAAGCAGAGTGGAGATCTCTTTGCAGTCTCCTGTCCCCTTCCAAAGTCAATTTGGCCCATTTTAATAAGAGACCAGATGATGGTTGCCACTCATACGTCACGTTTGGCATGGGATGACCACTCCCAGCCAGGCTTTGTGGAAAGCAGGCCACTACAACCTCTTAGCATGTGGAGTTTATTTACGCCCTCTGCTCCTGTCCCTTCTTCTTTGGCTCCTGTTCAGACATGCACTGCTGGGAAGGCCACAGATGACGAGGTGCATTGTAGCTGGACTCTGCCTGGAGCTGGCTGACCTCGGAGCCTCCTCAGATGGGATGGTTGGTGTCTCTTGTGGCAGGGTAGGACTCAGGGTCTCCTCCGCTACAGGGTTGGGAGTCTCTGTGGCTGGAGGGGGTGTGGCCTCCTCAACTGCTGGGCTCAGAGACCCTTCGACCAAGGGACCCGGCCCAGAGGACCGGCAGAAGCGCAGCAGCTGCAAGAGCCTCTCCAGTTCCTTCTCCATGGTGACCCAGAGCTTCCCACATGGCTGGTCTTCCCCCTGGTTGGGTCTAAAGGAGGCAGAATCATTTGCTCCCTGCGAGAAAGGGAAGCCAACACCTTCATGGGATCCATTTCTTTCCAGTTGATTCTCAGCCCTATCTTGGAATCTTTTGATTTCCAGTTGATTTTCAAGTCCCTCCTTGGCTCCCTTCTTTTCTTCACTTTGCTGGGGACTCCCAATCGCCTCTTGGGATCCTTTTTGGTTCAGCTCAGTTCCTTCTCTGGATCGCTTTATCTCCAGTGGAGTCCCAAGCAATTCTTTTGAGTTTTTACTTTCTAGCAGGTTAGCATCCTCCTTTGTCTCCTCTGGAGGCGCCTGTTGGTGGAAGAAAGGATACCAGGCTTAGGGATTTTGAAGATCATCTTTTCAGTAGATACAGAATTCCCCAGACAGCATGCTTTAAGATTTGAGGATTTCAGCTGCCAGAATTCCCCAGTCAGTGTGCTTTAAGATGGGTGAATTCTAACTCCCAGAATTCCCCAGCCAGCGTCTGTGGACTTTAACTCTCAGAATTCCACCTGCTGGCTGGTGAATTCTGGGAGTTGAAGTCCAGACAAATTCCATCTGCTGGCTGGTGAATTCTGGGAGTTGAAGTCCAGACATTTTAAAGTTGCTGCGATTGAAAAACACCGTATTAATGCATTGAATACCTTCTAGATCAGGGGTAGGCAACCTTGGCTCTTTTATGACTCGCGGACTTCAACTCCCAGAATTCCTGAGCCAGCTATGCTCAGGAATTCTGGGAGTTGAAGTCCGCGAGTCATAAAAGAGCCAAGGTTGCCTACCCCTGTTCTAAATGCTTGACTGAATGGTTCTAGGGAAGGAAAGTAGCATTAAAGATTTTTTTATTCCCTTGTAAAAAAAAAAAAGGGGGGGGGTTCTACCCAATTTACTTTTGTATGTGCATGTATGTTTATGTGTGTGTATCTCTCTCTGTGTGTCTCTTCAGACAGTGAACTTATGGCACTGGTGAGGTAGTAATTTTGCTGTAATTTTTTAAAATCTAAAATAAATCAATCTATTTCTTAATATTTTTGCATTTGTGTATTAGGTGCCTCAGCTTCTTTTATGCAATGCAGATAGCCATCTAAAATATTCTGATAAATTAAGAAGGCTTAAATCTCCGAGTGTTCCATACACTGTGAATGCAGCCAGGGAGGATTCTTGGGCTGAGTATCAGTTTCAGTGTGTCATGTGAACACACGTCTCATGTGGTGATCAGTTTCTCCTCCTAGTGGCTTCAGGGAGACCTGGATGTTAATATCTCCTCTTTGCCCCCTCCCCAGATTGCCTTCCAGGCTCTCTCCTCAAGGCTCACCTGTCTGGCCCCTCCCTCCTTCTGCTCCTCCTCCTGGGCACCAGGGATCTGTGGCAGCATCTTCCCCCCTTCCCGGCCCACGTCATAGGCAATGAAGAGGATGCTCCAGGCCATGGCGCAGCAGCCACCCAGGATGATCATCAGGGGCACCCAGTAGGCCTCCCACTGCAGGGACTCCAGCAGGGGTTTCCGGGAGCGCAGGTGCTTCTCACAGGGGACTTTGGACCCCCCCACTAAGAAGGACATGAGTAGGTAGAGGTAGATGTGACCACGGAGGCTTTGGGAAGCCATGCCAGCAGCTTCTGGCAGCAAGGAGCTGGCCTGGATGGTGATCACTTGGTCTTCCCTGACAGTTACAGGCTCCTCTAACTCCTCCCCTACCTCCATTATGACATCACAGCAAAGATGACCCACACCTAGGCCAGTTGTCTAAGCAACAACCGCTGGGCTGAGGAGACACTCCCTTTTCAGGGAAGTTGCCAGAAGGTTGCTACCTTGGCTCAGGTGCTTAGCCAGTTGAGAGAGGTTGGCCCACACGATCTCTCTAAATGACAGCCAATTTTTTTTAGAGATCAAAGTAATGGGTTAGAAACCAGGAGACAGGGAACTAAAGTCGTGTAATAGGCAGGAGAGCCAGGTGGGGGACTTTGAGCCAATCACCAAGAGCAGGTGAGTTCTAGTCCTACAAAATGAATGACAGCTGAGTGACTGAACCAGTCAGCAGTAGAAGGTGAGTTCATGTCAAACCTTATACAAGAAAGCCGGCTTCATGACTTTGAGCCCATAAGCAGAAGGTAGTGAGCAGTCTTGCAATACACACTACAGGCGAGTGAGCCACTTTCAACTTCTTTTTTCAATTTTTCCATTGTTTTTCAAATTTTAATCTTTTTTCAACTCTTAATCATTTAAAAGGAGGAGGAGGAATAGACTTTGAGGTTCTTGACGCTCTCTGAGCTTGGCTATTTTCTTGCAGGCATTTCATTACCCAACTAGGTAATATCATCAGTGTCAGAAGGGAGTGGGATTGAGAGCTTCCGGTGTGAGGCGACGGCGATGGCGGCTAGCTTTTAGCCGTCCAGCTGGGGAAGTGTCAGAGCCGCGGAGCGCAACGTGCATCAGCTGGCCCGCGGCTCGGAAATCCCTTCCCGGGCAAAGGGAAGGGACAGAGAGTGCAGGGATAGAGGTAGAACCCCTGAACCCCCTCTGGATTTGTTTCTAGAGGGGGTGAAAGGAGTGTTCCCTCGGAGCTCCTGCTGATCTCCGCCTCCCAGCTGTTTTTGCTTCCTAGGAAGCAAAAGAAACCGCCGCTTCTATCTCCGTGTTTATAGCATTCTGGTGAGTAATTTTTAAACGGACGGAGCAGTTTAAAGGATTTTTTGTTATAATTTAGGTGTTTATTTTTTTTTATTTTTTGATTTCTACTATTATTCTTCCTTTTTTTGTTATATTAGTGAAAGGATTTAAGATGGCGCTTTGAAAGTGTTGGAGTTTTTTTTTTCCTTTCTCTTTTGTTTTACTTTCCCTTTTTAAGGACTGGTTTTTGCTTTTACTTTTGCTTTCGGCTTAGAATTTTTTCTTTTGAATTGTTTGTTCTTTTATTTTTTATTCTTTGGATTTACTCTGGACTTTCAAGGACTATAGTTTGTCTCTTTTTAAAAAATTTTTTTCCCTTTTTTTCCCTCCTCCCTTCCTGGCTGGAGGGGAAAGGGAAGTGACAATTGTGCTTTTTAAAATGGCTTCAAAGAGGCAGCAGCCTTCCTCAATACCCAAGGTTATTTCTTCTCCTATAACTTCCACTGCACAGTTACAACAACAATCTAAACATGTACCACCGGCTCAGCCACCACCCTCCCCTCCTCTATCTGGACTTTCAGCACAAGAGGTTAGAGGTATAATGGGAGAGATTGTAGTTCAAATGAGAGAGGAAATGAATCAATTTGTCTCACAGATTAAATCAGAAATTAAATCTGATCTCAAAGAAGAGATAACGGGGATAAAGACTAAATTGCAAGAAAACAATAATGAATTACGACAAGATATACTGGCAGCTGTTTCAGGTTTGGCTACTGTGGTGGTTAAGCTCGATGCAAGGCTTGAGGAAGTGGAAGACAAAGTTGACTCTTTGGATGACAAAATTCAAGATGTGGAAAGGAAGGTGGACTCCTCACAAGAAGATATTCTGATGTTTCAGTACAGACAAATGGAGTATGCCCTGAGGATCAGAGGCCTCAAGGAAGATGTGAATCAAGATCTGGTGGAGGTGGTCCTTACTGATCTGGCGCTGGCCTTGGATATGGATAAAGGAGAATTACAGAGAGAAGTGGAAAAAATTTATAGGCTCAACTCCTGGATTGCTAAGCAGAAGAACTTGCCTAGAGATGTGGTGATTTATTTTACAAAGAAGTCCCTGCGGAATGAGATTATACAAGCTTTTTACAATAAAAGATTTCAGATTGCTGCCCAAGATGTCATCATTCTAAAGGAAATCCCATCCAAAATTTTAAGAAGCAGGAAAGACTTTGCTTTTTTAACCAATGAGCTTAAAGCTAGATCGATGCCATTTAGATGGGAAATTCCGATGGGTATTGTTTTGAGCCATGCTGGGACACGCTACAGATTGAACACAGTTGACAAAGCTAGAGACTTTTATACTTCGGTCCTGGGTGCAGGCTCAACTTCATCTGGTCGGAAATCTCTGAGTGGCAAGGAAGTTGAGCAGCAATCTGAGGCATTAGATTTGGTTTCCGCTGGGATGATAGAAGCTGTAAAGCAACGCCAGACGGAGGTTAAAGAGCAGAGGATGACCCGTGCAGCCTATAAGCGTAAAGAGAAGGAGCAACGTAAAAAAGAGCCTAAAGAGAGTTCTCCTGGAAGTGCATCACCGCCGGTGGGAGGAGCAAGACCCAAGAGTTATGCAACACACGCAGCTCTTTCAGAGTTTGATGGTGTCTTCTCCAGGCTGCGTGCCAAGGGAGATGGCAAAGTTTTTGACCTGGAATGTTAATGGATTGAATTCTCCTCAGAAACGCAAAAAAATCTTTTATTATTTGAAGCAACATACTAATGATGTTATTTGCTTACAGGAAACTCATATTTTACTTAAAGATCAGAAATATTTAGTTAATGCTCGTTTGGGATCTCATTTTATATCTTCTGCTCCTGGGAAGAAAGGGGGAGTTGTTATATATGTTAAACAAAACCTACCAGCTTGTCTGGTAGAATCAGATCCCCAGGGGAGATATGTGATGATTGAACTTGGTATTTATGGTAAGAAAATACTTATAGTTGGACTTTACGCTCCAAATCAACAACAGGAACAATTTTATAAGCAGTTACATCAAAAAATAACATTGCTTGATTATAGATCAGTGGTATTAATGGGTGATTGGAATGGTGTCTTAGATACACAAAGGGACAAGAAAGGTTCCTCTCCTTTTCTTAAACAAGCAAGGCTACCTAAAGCCTTTTTTGATATGAAAGAAGACTGGGAATTAAGGGATTATTGGCGGGAACGTAACCAAGAGGAGAGAGACTTTACCTTTTTTTCTGATAGACACCAATCTTTTTCAAGAATTGACTTTTTCTTGATTACCACGGACTTGTATAACAAAGTAAAGAATGTAAAGATTTTTCCTAGATCACTGACGGATCATAGTCCAGTTTGGATGGAGCTGATTCAAGAGAAAGAGGAAAGAAGATCCTGGAGAGTTAATGAAAATTTGTTTAGACAAGAGAAGAATGTTCAAAAATTAAAGGAGTGTTTAAAGGACTATTTTGCTTTGAATATGTACAAGGGGACTTCAATGTCAATGGTATGGGATGCAGGTAAAGCATTTATGCGCGGTGTTTTGATAAAAATGAATAATTTTTATAAGCGAAATCAGATTCAGAAACGTAGAGAACTTGAAGATGAAATTAAATTAAAAGAAAGGGCTTTGATTCTAAATCCTTCTGATGAAAGTACTAAAGAATCTGTAAAGTTATTAAGGTCACAATTTAATATGTTGATAGCAGATCAAGCTGCAACCAACTTATTATTTATGAAACAAAATACATTTTGTAATGCTAATAAGCCGGGGAGATGGTTGGCTTATCAATTAAGAAAGAAACAGAGACAGAGAATAATAGAGAAAATAAATTACAAGGGTAAACTAGTTTCTCAGAAGGAATTAATTAAAAAATCTTTTTTGGATTATTATCAAAACTTATATAAATCTACTAATGTACAATTGTTAGATATAAATAAATATTTAGCTGAGGCAAGTTTTCCTAAACTGACTGAGGATCAGAAATATGAAATTAATGGCTTAATTACTAAGGAGGAAATTGCCTCAGCAATTCAACAATTGAAATTAGGGAAAGCACCGGGTACGGATGGGTTAACAGCTGTTTATTATAAAGCTTTAATGGAGGAGATGATCCAACCATTAAATGATCTTTTTAATGGTATCTTACAGGGTTTAGAGATTCCTCCTTCATGGCGTAGTGCCTTTATATCATTGATTCCAAAGGAGGATCAAGATCTTACTTTACCAAAAAATTATAGGCCTATATCTCTTTTAAACGTGGATTATAAGATATTTGTAAAAATTTTGGTAAATAGGCTTATGAGGGTGGTGCATCATCTTGTGCATAAAGATCAATCAGGGTTTATAACAGGAAGGTATATGAAAAACAATGTTAGACAAATTATTAATCTATTAGAATACTTAGATAAGAACAACCAAGTTCCTGCAGGGCTCATATTTTTAGATGCTGAAAAAGCATTTGACCAATTGAATTGGCATTTTATGCTAAGAGTAATGGAAGAAATGAATTTTGGTGAAAATATATTACAAGCCCTTAAGGTAATATATCAAAAACAAACAGCACAACTTATTGTTAATGGAGGTCTTTCGGAGGTTTTCACAATAGAGAAAGGTACTAGACAGGGGTGTCCTTTATCGCCATTGTTGTTTGTTTTAACATTGGAAATATTATTGATCAAAATTCGAGAGTCTCAGGAAATTAAAGGAATATATGTTAATAAAAAAGAATATAAGTTAAGAGCTTTTGCGGATGACTTGGTTGTTACTTTGTCGCAACCTGATTATTCTGTAGTAAATTTATTACAGTTGATTCATCATTATGGCTTGGTCTCTGGTTTCAAGATTAATGTAAATAAGACCAAAATTTTACCTAAAAATATGTCTAGTCAGGAGAAGCAGATTTTGACTAACCTGACGGGTTTTGAGATTGTTAATAAGGTAAAATATTTGGGGGTGATGTTGTCTGTTTCTAATGTAAAATTATTTAAAAATAATTATGAAAGGTTGTGGGTCAGGGTACAGAAGGACTTGAAGAACTGGGAAAAGTTGCAATTATCCCTCATGGGAAGAATTGCAGTGATAAAAATGAATATTTTACCCAAGTTTCTTTTTCTGTTTCAAATGTTACCAATTTTGAAAAATGAGATTAATTTAAATGAGTGGCAGAAGGGTCTTAATAAATTTATCTGGGCAGGGAAAAAGCCAAGGGTTAAGTTTAAAATTATGCAAGACTTCCGTGAGAGGGGTGGACTTAAGGTACCAAATTTGAAATTATATTATGATGCGGTGGTTTTAACACTTAATCAGTGATTGGGTAAATTTGACAAATTCTGAGATACTTTATCTAGAGGGATGGGATTTACTTTATGGGTGGCATGCCTATTTAATATTCAATAAAAAAATGGATTGGGCTTTTAAATCTCATATCTTAAGAATTTCTTTACTTAGGATTTGGAGAAAATATTATAAAAGTGATTTCAAAGTACCATTATGGGCTATACCTTGGCATGCGATAGAAGCTATAAAAAGAGGGGTTAAAATGGACATGGTGTCTTATAGACAGTTACTTAAATGGGATGGACAAAACTGGCAATTAAAATCACGGGAAGAGTTAGCACAAGAAAACTTTATTTATTCTTGGTTCCAATATAGGCAATTACTAGACAGATGGAAGATGGATTGTAAGGTGGGTTTTCTTAGAGAAGATGAAAATCTTATTAAGCAAGTGAAGGATTCAAGACAAACCCACATTAAGAGAATTTATGCGGTTTTAGTTGAATTGGATTCAGAAACGGAACTAATTAAAGATTGTATGATAAGATGGGCGCAGAATTTTGGTGAGCCAGTCTCATTGGACACCTGGGAAAATATTTGGGTGAGAAATGTCAAATTTACACAAGCACAGAACTTAAGGGAGAATTTTTATAAAATGTTTTATAGATGGCACCTTGATCCACAAAAAATGTCTTATATGTACCCTGACGTGCAACCCAAATGTTGGAGATGTGGTTATAAGGAGGCTTCCTATTATCATATTTGGTGGTCATGCAGAGAGATAAAAGCATTTTGGATCAAAGTATGGTGGAATATCCAGAGAATTTTTAGAAGGAGGGTAAAATTTACTCCGCAATTATTTTTGTTAGGTATTGTTACAGATTGTGATACAAAGGAGGTTGTATTGATGTTAAATTTGATTACAGCCGCTAGGCTGTTAGTAGGACAATATTGGAAGAAGGAATCTTTGCCTACATTGCAGGAATGGTTTCTTAAAGTAGCTTATCTGGCGGAAATGGCAAAGATTTCGGCTTTCTTAAAGCAACAAACGCAAGAGAAGTTTTTTGCTGTTTGGGATAAATGGATAAAATTTATACAATTTAGATTGGGTATACAAAAATATTATATAGTTTTTTCATAAGTTTTATTTTTATATATATTATAGATAATCTTTTTATATATATAAATATAAAGTTCTTAATTTAATTTTTATTTTTACTTCTTAAGCCTATATTCTGCTCTGGGAAGCTCAGGGGGGGGGAAGGGAGGGGGGGGGGTTTGGGAGGGGTGGGGGGTTTTCTTTTTATATATGTATTGTTTAGTTTTATTTTTTTTGTATATGTTGTTTCTTGTTTTGTATTCTTTTTTCTTTTTTGTAAAATTTATAAAACTTTTAATAAAAAAAAAAAAAAAAAAAGAAGGGAGTGGGATTTTCTTCCTGTTTACAGGTAGTTTTCAACTTACAACCAAAACCCTACAATCTACCCTAGCCCATTCCAATTAAGCCCTTCTGGAACTGAACAATCGCTTTCATAGCCTCCCTCTGGAAGAAAATATGCAGACATCCACAAAAGAGCATTCATCAATAGTTTCTAAAAAAAACAGGCATAACCCAGCATTCCTGTGACAGGAAAAAAAAAGTATCCCAGATTTCCCGAAGAAAAAAATTGGAGATTTGATCAGAGATTCAACTCTTAGGGGAACAGAAACTATAGTCTGTAGACCAGGCAGCCAATCTAAGGAGATATATTGTCTCCCTGGAGCAAAAATCAAAGATGTAACTGAGTACCTTAATAAAATAATCAACCCCGTGGATTATTACCCTTTCTTCTCCTACACATGGGGGACTAATGACACAACAATGAATCTGAAAACAATAACGAGGGATTGCAAACAGCTAGGGAAGAAAGTTAAAGAATTAGGAGCACAAGTGGTGTTTTCATCTATACTTCCAACAAAAGACCAACATCCAATGAGGAGCAAAGGATTTTAAAAACAAACCACTGGCTTAAAAACTGGTGCCGTCAACAGAACTTCAGCTTCCTAGACAATGGCCTGCATTACCTACATGAAGGGCTACTGGCAAGGGATGGACTGCACCTCACAAGAACTGGAAAGAATATATTCAGAAAATGACTGGCTCATCTTATCAAAAGAGCTTTAAATCAAATTGAGGGAGGACAGGGGCCAATCTTCATGACCTTTAGACCAAGCAAAAATCACTAGATAACCAATCACATAAGAAAGTAGGGAATAAAGAGAAAGAAGAAATAAAAAATGAAAAACATAATGAAGTAGAGGGCGATGGAAAAAACTGAAATTGTAGCAACAAAGTAGAAGATATAAGAAACATATCCAAGATCCATAAAGGACTCAAATGCCTATACACTAATGTTCAAAGTTTAGGGAACAAGTACAAGTACATGAAGACAGATATGCTATAGTTACCATCACTGAAACATTGTGGGAATAAATTCATGACTGGAATGTACTGATGGAAGAATATAAACTGTTCAAAAGAAACAGACCTAACAAAAGAGAAGGTGGAGTAGCATTATATATACAAGATCACTACATCTCTAAGAAATACACAAAACCAAGGATGAAAACCTCCTAGAATCCATATGGGTCAATATAAAAGGGGGGGGGGAATGACATTGCTATAGGCATATACTACAGGCAACTCAACCAAGCAGAAGAAATAGATGAACTCTTTGCTAATCAATTAACAAATGTATGTAGGAAACATACCACAGTAGTAATGGGAGACTTTAACTATCCTGTTATCAACTGGGAGACAAACTCTGCAGCAAGTGGAAGATTGAACAGATTCCTAACCAACTTAGCTGACAAATTTGTCATCCAAAAAAGGTAGAGGTGGGAACTAGAGGAAAAGCTATACTCGACCTAATTCTTACTAATAGAGGAGAAGTGATAGAAGGAGTTGAAATTGCCAGAACCTTGGGTAAGAGTGACCATGTCATACTGGAATTCAATACAATGCAAACACAAGAAGTAGAATATAATCCAACCAGTGTCTTAAACTTTAAAAGGTCTGATTTTAACAAACTCAGTGAGAGCCAAAGAAACATTCCATGGATAAAAATACTAAAAGGCAAAACAACTCAAGAAGCATAAGAAACTCTGAAAAATATGATCATAAAAGCCCAGTCAAACACAATAACATTGAAAAAGAAATCCAAGAAGAAACCAGCATGGTTGCACAAAGATCACTATGATAAACTGAAAGACAAAAAGAATAAGTACAAAAAATGAAAAGAAGGACACATAACTAAGGCAGAATATTAGCAGATAGCCCAAATCTGCAAAGATGAAGTTAAGAAAGCAAAGGCTCAGGGTGAACAAAGACTTGCAACAAAAGTCAAAGATAATTAAAAAAAATTCTTTAAACATATAAATAACAAGAAAATATACCCAGGAAACTACAGGTCAGTCAGCCTAACATCAATACTTGGGAAGATACTGGAAAAAATAATAAAAAAACCAGATCTGCGAACATCTAGAAACAAAGTCATAACTAGTAGCGAAAGTCATAACTAGTAGTTAAAAACAGATCATGCCAATTTTACTTCATTCTTTGACAAAATAACTAAATTAATAAACCAGCAAAATGCTGTAGACATAGTATACTTAGACTTCAGCAAGACATTTGACAAAGTAGATCACAACCTACTTCTTGGAAAACAAGAAAAATGTGGAATAGACAGCATCACCACCAGATGGATTTGTAAGAGGCTGACAAACCATACTCAACGAGTAGTCCTTAATGGTACAATATCTACATGGAGGGAAGTAAGCAGAAGGGTACCACAAGGCTCCATTATGGCCCAGTACTCGTCAATATCTTCATAAATGACTTAGATGAGGGAATAGAAGGGGAATTCATCTCATGGAATTTGGAGATGACATTAAGCTGGCAGGAATAGCCAACACCCAGAAGACAAGCTCAGGATTCAAAAAGATCTTGACAGACTTGAACAATGGGCTCTAGCCAACAACATGAAATTTAATGTGGAGAAAAGCAAGGTTTTACACCTAGGCAGGAAAAACCAAAAGTACAAGTACAGATTACGCATGCCCTGGCTTAAAAAAAAAAAAAAATTGTGAGGGGGACCTTGGAGTCCTAGTGAATGATCACTTAAACCTGAGCCAGCAGTGTATGGCAGTAGCCAAAAAAGATAAATCAATCCTGGGTTGCATAAACAAAAGCAGAGAATCAAAATCACATGAAGTATTAGTACCGCTTTATAAATCCTTAATAAGACCACACTTGGAATATTGCATCCAGTTTTGGTTACCACGGTACAAAATAAATGTTCAGACTTTGGAAAAAGTGCAAAGAAGAGCAACAAAAACGATTAAGGGACTGGAGACAAAAACATATGCAGAAAGGTTTCAGGAATCGGGTATTGCCAGTCTAGAGAAAAGAAGGACTAGGGGTGACTTGATAGCAGTATTCCAGTATTTAAGCAGCTGCCACAAAGAGGGAATCAACCTTATTTTCCAAAGCACCAGAAGTCAAGACAAGAAACAATGGATGGAAACTATTCAAGGAGAAAAGTAACCTGGAATTAAGAAACTTCCTAACAGTGAGGAAAATTAACCAGTGGAACAGCTTGCCTTCAGAAGATGCAGGTTCTTCTTGATTGGAGGTTTTTAAGAAAAGACTGGAAAGCCACCTATCTGAAATGGTATAGAGTTTCCAGCTTGAGCAGCAGGTTAGATTAGAAGATCAACAAGGTCCCTCCCAGCTCTATTCTGATTTATTGATTGATTATTCATGCTATAGGAATGCTGAGTTCTCCTCCTGCAATTCCATGACAGGGAGCTGAGTGACTTGGGAAGATCACCAGAAAGCTTAGTGATTTTGAACCAATAATCCAGAGTGGGCAACTTCTATTCCTGCAATAGGCATAGTGAAGTCTACTCATGCAATACCGATGACAGCGGCTGAGTGATTTTGAGCATATCACTGGGAAAAGGTAAGTTCCATTCATGCAGTGCTGATGACAGGCTGCTGAGTGATCTTGGGCAGACCATCAAGAAGAGGAAAGATCTACTCCTGCAAGACAGATGACAGGCGGCTGAGTGACCATGGGCAGTTCACCTGGAAAAGGTAAATTCTACTCCTACAACACACACAACATTAGCCTATAGACATTGTTCTAGTTTGCAATACAAATGACCAATGGCTGATTTACCTGGGAAAGGTGAGTTCTACTCATATAGTATGGATGACAGGTGGCTGAGTGTTTTTGAGCTGATCACCAGAAAAAGTTGAGTTCTATTCCTGCAATATTGATGACAGGATGCTAGGTGATTTGGGAAGACAACAAGGAAACAGTGAATTCTACTCCTATAATATGAAAAAAAGGTGGCTTAATGACATTGGACCAATAGCCCACAGAAACTAACTTCTATTCATGCTACGGACATGGGGAGTTCTACTTCTGCAAACTCTGTGAGAGACAGCGCAAGTGACTGTGGGCAGATCCCCAGAAAAAGGTTAGTACTCCTATAATAAGGAAAATGGGTGGCTTAGCGGCATTGGACCAATAACCAAGAGACGGTAACTTGTATTCTTACTATAGGAATGGTGACTTCTACTTCTGCAAAATCAATGACAGTGACTGAGTGACCTTGGGAGACCACCTGGAAGAGGTAAGTTAGGTTCCTGTAATGCAGATGACAGGTGGCTGAGTGAGCTTGGATATTTCACATGGAAAAGGTGAGTTGTATTGCTACAATGTATACGAGATCCAGCCTATTCACACTGAACCAATAACCAAGATTCAGCAATTTCTCTTTCTTCAACAGGCTTTGTGAGTCCTACTCCTGCCATTCCAAAGGTAGGCAGCTGAGTGACTTTAGGAAGGTCATCTGGAATTGTGTATTTTCCTCCTGTAATATGGATGACAGAGTGGTCAGTGAGATTGCACCAATAATCAAAAGATGGTAACTTCCATATCTGCTATAGGTATTGTCAGTTCTACTTCTGGATTATACATGTCATACGGTTGACTGAATTTGGGCTAGCTACCAGAAAAAGGTGAGTTCAATTTCTACAATTCTGATGACAGGCTTGTGAGTAACATTGGGCAGACCACTAGGAAAAGGTGAGTTCTAGTCCTATAATATGCAAGACAGGTGCAGTACTGCAGGCCACTTTAGCTAACTGTGTTCAGCAGGTCAGCGGTTCAAATCTCACCGGCTCAAGGTTGACTCAGCCTTCCATCCTTCCGGGGTAGGTAAAATGAGGACCCAGATTGTTGGGGGCAATGTAAATATATATATATATATATATATATATATATATATATATATATATATATACACATTGCTTACTGGTGTACACCGCTTAGAGAGTGCTTGCACTTAAAGCGGTATATGTCTCATAAATAAATAAATAAATAAACCAAGAAACGGTAACTGCTATTCCTGTAATAGGCATGCTGAGTTCCACTCCTGCAAAATCCACGAGAGGCAGCTCAAGTGTTTGTGGGAAGATCCCCCCAAAAGGTTAGTTCTACTCCTACAATATGCAAAGCAGATGGTTAGCGGCATTGGACCAAGAAAAGGTAACTTCTATTCCTGCTACAGGCATGATGATTTCTACTTCTGCAACATCAATTTGACAATGGGTGAATGACTTTGGGAGACCACCCGGAAGAGGTAAGTTCTATTCCTGTAATGCAGATGACAGGTGGCTGAGTGAGCTTGGATATTTCACATGTAAAAGGTGTGTTCTATTGCTACAACTTATACAAGATCCAGTCTATTGACACTGAACCCATAACCAAGATTCAGCAATTTCTCTTTCTTCAACAGGCTTTATGACTCCTACTCCTGCAATTTCAAAGGTAGGTGGCTGAGTGACTTTAGAAAGATCATCTGGAATTGTGTGTTTTCCTCCTGCAATATGGATGACAGGGTGGTCAGTGAGATTGCACCAATAACCAAAAGATGATAACTTCTATATCTGCTATAGGTATCGTGAGTTCTATTTATATTTCCAAAGTCATATGGTTGACTAAATGTCAGTTAGTTACCAGGAAAAGGTGAGTTCTATGTTTACAATTCTGATGACAGGCTTCTGAGTGACATTGGGCAGACCAGCAGCAAAAGGTGAGTTCTACGACTACTATATGCAAAACAGTTGGTGACATTAGACCAATAACAAGACATGGTAACTTCTATTCCTGTAATAGGCATGGTGAGTTCTACTCCTGCAAAATCCACGAAAGGCAGCTCAAGTGGTTATAGGCAGATCCCCCAAAAGGTTAGTTCTACTCCTCAATATACAAGATAGGTGGTTAGTGGCATTGGACCAAGAAAGGTAACTTCTATTCCTGCTATAGGCATGATGATTTCTACTTCTGCAACATCCATGACAATGGGTGAGTGACCTTGGGAGACCACCCAGAAGAGGTAAGTTCTATTCCTGTAATGCAGATGACAGGTGGCTGAGTGAGCTTGGATATTTCACATGGAAAAGGTGAGTTTTATTCCTTCAAGATAAACGGGATCCAGTCTATTGACACTGGACCAATAACCAAGATTCAGAAATTTCTCTTTCTTCATCAGACTTTGTGAGTCCTACTCCTGCAATTCCAAAGGTATTTCACATGGAAAGGGTGAGTTCTATTCCTACAAGATACACGAAAGTCAGCCTATTGACACTGAACCAATAACCAAGATTCGGTAATTTCACTTTCCGCAATAGGCATTCTGAGTTTTACTCCTGCAATTCCAAAGGTATTTCCCATGGAAAAGGTGAGTTCTATTCCTTAAATATATGCGAGAGGTAGTCTATTGACACTGAACCATTAATCAAGATTCGGCAATTTCTCTTTCTTCGATAGGCATCGTGAGTGGAACAGCTGCAATTCCAAAGGTATTTCCCATGGAAAAGGTGAGTTCTATTCCTTTAAGATATACGAGATCCAGTCTTTTGACACTGAACGAATAACAAAGATTCGGCAATTTCTCGTTTCTTCTATAGGCATCATGAGTAGCACCTGAGGCTTCTGAGTTACATGGGGCAGACCAGCAGCAAAAGGTGAGTACTACTACTACAATATACAAAACAGGTAGTTAGTGACATTAGACCAATAACCAAGACACGGTAACTTCTATTCCTGTAACAGGCATGGTGAGTTCCACTCCTGCAAAATCCACAAGAGGCAGCTCAAATGGTTGTGGGCAGATCCCCAAAAAAGGTTAGTTCTACTCCTCAATATGCAAAATAGGTGGTTAGCGGCATTGGACCAATTACCAAGAAAAGATAACTTCTATTCTTGCTATAGGCATGGTGAGTTCTACTTCTACAAAAATCAATGACAATGGGTGAGTGACCTTGGGAGACCACCCGGAAGAGGTAAGTTCTATTCCTTTAATGCAGATAACAAATGGCTGAGTGAGCTCGGATATTTCACATGGAAAAGGTGAGTTCTAGTGCTACAACTTATACAAGATCCAGTCTATTGACACTGAACCAATAACCAAGATTTGGCAATTTCTCTTTCTTCTATAGGCATCGTGAGTGGCACAGCTGCAATTCCAAAGATATTTCACATGGAAAAGGTGAGTTCTAGTGCTACAACTTATACAAGATCCAGTCTATTGACACTGAACCAATAACCAAGATTTGGCAATTTCTCTTTCTTCTATAGGCATCGTGAGTGGCACAGCTGCAATTCCAAAGATATTTCACATGGAAAAGGTGAGTTCTATTCCTGCAAGATATATGAGAACCAGCCTATTGACACTGAACCCATAACCAAGATTCGGTAATTTTACTTTCCTCAATAGGTATATGAGTTCCATATCTGCAATTCCAAAGGTATTTCTCACGGAAAAGGTGAGTTCTATTGCTACAACTTATACAAGATCCAGTCTATTGATACCGAACCCATAACCAAAATTCAGCAATTTCTCTTTCTTCATCAGGTTTTGTGAGTCCTACTCCTGCAATTCCAAATGTAGGCAACAGAGTGAGTTTAGGAAGATCACCTGGAATTGTGTGTTTTCCTCCTGTAATATGGATGTCTGGGGAGATTAGTGAGATTGCACCAATAACCAAAAGATGATAGCTTCTATACCCGCTATAGGTATTGTGAGTTCTACTTCTGTAATACCCAATCATACAGTTGAGTGAATTTGGGCTAGTTACCAGAAAAAGTGAGTTCTATTTTTACAATTCTGATGACAGGCTTCTGAGTGACATTGGCTGACCACCAGGAAAAGATGAGTTCTACTGCTGCAATATGCAAAACAGGTGGTTTATTGACAATGGACCAATAACCAAAAACTGGTAACTGCTATTCCTGCTACAGGTATGGTGAGTTCTATTCCTGCTAAATGTGTGCATGGTAGCTCAAGTGGTTGTGGGCAGATCCCCTGAAAAGGTTAGTTCTTCTCCTACAATATGCAAAATAGGTGGCTTAGCGGCATTGGACCAATAACCACGAGACCGTAAGTTCTATTCCTGCTATAGGCATGGTGAGTTCTATTTCCTACCAAATCAATGATAGTTGCTTAATAACCTTGGGAGACCACCAGGAAGAGGTAAGTTCTATTCCTGTAATGTGGATGATAAGTGGTTGAGTGAGCTTCGGCATTTCAACAAGAAAACGTGATTTCTATTCCTACATGATGCAAGAAACCGAGCTTATTGCCACTGAACCAATAACCAAGATTCCGTAACTTTTATTCCTGCTGTAGGCATGGTGGGTTCTACTTTTGTAACATACATGGTAACTGGCTGAATGATTTGAAGAAATTACATGGAGAAGGTGAGTTTTACTGAATTCGCTTAATGGGCAACTTGTTAACTTAGAGATGTTGAGTTTTTTTTTCCTGCAATAGGTATGGTTAGTTTTTCTCTTGCAATAATCATGATATGCGGTTGAGTGACTTTGGCTGGTCATTAGTTGAAGGTGAGTGGTACTCCTATATTATGCATAAGAGGTGGATTAGTTACTTTGGACCAATCAGTAGTAGATTTTGAATTCTAATGCTATAATAATTGTGACAGGCAGCTGAATCTCTTTGTGCAGATCACCAATAGATGGTCCATTTTACTCCTACAATACACAGGATGGCCGGCTGAGTGAATTTCAGTTAATCTCCATACGATGGTGAGTTCTAATCCTACAATAGGCATAGTGGGTTCTACTTCTATAATACACAGAACAGGAAGCTGAGTCAGTTTGAACAGATGAACAGAAAAAGGTCAGTTGATACCAATCACCAGGAGATAATGAGTTCCAGTCCTCCAATACCCAGGATCAGCAGTTGAGGGACTTTTGGTCAATCACCAGGAGACAGTGGGTTCTTCTTCTGCAACCCGCACACAAGGCAGTTGAATCACTTTTGCCAGATCACAAATAGATGGTGAGTTCTATTTCTTCAATTTGCATAACAGCTGACTGAGTGTCTTTGGGCCAATCACTAGGAGATGGTGAGTTCAAATCCTGCAATATATATGACCGGCAGCTTTATGACTTTGGCTAGATGATCAGTAAACCATGAGTTCTACTTCTACAATACACACAACAGACGACTGAGTGACTTTTGACCAATAACCAGGAAATGGTGAGTTCTAGTCCTCCATTAGGCATCAAAGCCTTCCTTTCGTCTTCCTTCCTTCCTTCCTTCCTTCCTTCCTTCCTTCCTTCCTTCCTTCCTTCCTTCCTTCCTTCCTTCCTTCCTTCCTTCCTTCCTTCCTTCCTTCCTCTCTCCTTCCTTCCTCCCTCTGGCAGAAGGCCAGCTCACTGACCTTAGGCCAATCATTTTTTCTCAGTCCTAGGAAGGAGGCAATGGCAAACCACCTCTCAAAATGTGCATGGATTTGTTTAGACAGTATCTGAGAATTGGACCTGACTAAAGAGAAGAAAAAAGGAGCAATGGATGATGAAGACGGAAGAGACCCTCCTCAGCACATCGTGTCCTCTTGGCCTCCAAGCAGACCAACATCCCCTGTTGAGTGATCTGAAGTCAGCGATTGCAGTGGGACCCAAGCCATTTCATTGTGTGATTGCTGAATGAACCAGAACCACTTGATGCTGTACTGCAGAAGTCTCCAACCTTTTTGATTTGGCGGCCTGGAAAGAGAGGCAGGCACCGCTACATGCGCACGCACAAATGAGCTGCGTGCATGCACAAAAATGAGCCCCGTGCACACACGCACACATGGACTGTGCATGAGTGCATGTGCACACACAAATGGCTTCACATGAGCGCATGCGAACACACAAATGGCCACACACAAGCACATGTGCACAAGTAAATGGGGCTGCTCGGTGGTGGGGCAGCACTAATGCTGGCAGGATGCTAGGGGTGGCGCTAGCACCGGTGGGATGCTTGGGGCAGAGTGATACCAGCGCCAGCGGGATGCTTGGGACAGCACTTCATGCGGCCCAGTGGCCAAGTGGCCATGGCCCGGTAGTGGGCCATGGCCCACAGGTTGGGGACCCCTGCTGTACTGTATTAACCAATGAGCGTAGAGTCCCCACAAGCCATGAATCTCAACTGAATTAAGCTGGAAAGCTGGAAATCCAGGAGACTCTCTGAGCAGCAGTCTGTGAGAGCTTCTCTGCCCCGACACCTGGCACTGCACCCAGCTTTGCAATGACCTGATTGGCTAACAGAACAAGTCTATCTGGACTCATTTCAATTTGATTCATAACTTAATCCTAATAAATATTGCATGACAAATCATGATATGCAATTACTTCTGAATGCGTCAGAACCACTTGATATTGCATTGTGTTAACCAATGAGCGTAGAGTCCTCACAAGCCATGAATCTGAACCGAACAAATCTGGAAAGCTGGCTGGGAATTCTGGGAGTTGACGTTCCCACATCTCAAAGCCGCCAAGTTGGAGGAACACCGATTTAGAGTCTCCCCAACTCCACCTGGCTGTGGGCAGCTGATTTTCCCCAACAGAATAATGAAAATAAAAAAGAAAGAAACTGAGCATGAGCATAGAGGAGACCTCTGAACATACAGCAATCCGTGAGGGCTTCTCTGCCACCCTGCCCCGACACCTGGCATTGCACCCAGTTTTGCAATGATCTGACTGGCGTACAGAAGAAGTCTACCTGGACTCATTTCAATTTGATTCATAATTTATTCCTAATAAATGTTGCTAGACAAATCATGATACAATTACTTCTAAATCCCTTTCATTTTGGTTGCCAGCTGTCCCACTGGTCAAAGTTCTCTTATGTATTTGAGCTTCTGCTTGCGTCCTCTGCCCCGGGCCGGGTCCAGCTGCTCACTGTCAGCAATTTCATAGACAGTGATGTGCAGTTTGTCCGAGCCTCACTTCTTCAGATTCAGGGGATCCCTCTCTTTTTCTGCCTTGGCCCCCAGGGTGCCCTGCTGATTGTGCATTTTGCTCAGGAAGCACTTCAGATTGTGCTCCATGCAGGCCAGCCCATGGGCGTATACATGGAGGGCAGGGTTGGTGCCTGGCAGGCTGGACCCAAACCTAGGCTAGGCGAGGACAAGGAACTAAGAGTAGTAGCCAGACAATTGTCCCCATCTTCTTCTGGACAGGATATCTAGACCGCCTGCACCAGTGAAGGAGAGTGAAGGGAGACCTATCTTAATTAATAACCACTAGTAATTTCTCAATTAATGACCACTCATAATTTCTTCATTAATTAATTAGTGATCAGTTGTAGTTTATTTATTAATTAATTACCACTCATAATTACTTCATTAATTAATGACCAGTTGTAGTTACTTCATTAATTAACAACTATAATGTCAATTAATTACCATGGAGTTTCTTCATTGATTAATGATTAGACCAGTAATACTTGCTTAATTAATTAGTTATCAGTCACAATTGCTTCACTAATTAATCAATGATTACTTGTACCATATATTCCGGCGTATACGGCGACCCGGCGTATAAGATGACTCCCGACTTTGACGCCGAGTCGCATGCCTAGAAAGTCATCTTATACGCCGGAAACTACCATTATTTCTGGCATATAAGACGATCGACACCGAGTCGCACGCCTAGAAAATCGTCTTATATGCCAGAAACTACCGTTATTTCCGGCGTATAAGACGACCCCTGAGTTTGGCGCCTATTTCAACGCTCTCAAAAGTCGTCTTATACGCCAGAAAGTACGGTATTTACTTTATCAATGACCATTCAAAACTGGTCTTAATGACCAGTTATAGTTTCTTCATTGATATATTAGGGACTAGTCATTGTTCCTTTATTAATTAATGACCCATCATAAATTCTTCACTAATTAATAACCACTTGTAATTTCTTCTTCCCATTCCTGATCTATGGTGTGTCCATCCTGCTTGCTTTTGTTCATGAACTGACCCCAAACTGCCACAAATATGTGTTTGCAGCGCATTAGAAACCCCCCCAAACAAGCCCACCCCTCCCATCTCACATGAACCACTTTTATTTATTTATTAAATTTTAATGGTGCCCATCTCGTTGATACAACTTTGAGTGGCTTACCATAGAATAAAAAAAGTTTTTCAAAGTGATAATACAAAGGCAACTAAATGAAGACGGTTAAAAAGAAAGCCATTCATTTGAGCCCGTTGCATGAAGGCTGTGGCTACGTCTTTCCCTGACTTGGCTAAGTGGGTTGTGTGAACCCAGCCATTGGGGGATTCTTTGTCATCTCATAGAATCATAGATTCATAGGTCTTCTAGTCCAACCCCCTGCTCAAGCAGGAGACCCTATATTATTCCAGACAAATCATTGCCCAGGAAACCTCCAGAGTTGGAGCACTCATAACTCAAGAAGCAAGACTGCTCTCTCTCTCTCTCTCTCCCTCCCTCCCCCCCTCTCTCTCTCTCATATAATCTATCTCATATAATCACATAATCATAGTGCTGGAAGGGACCTTGGAGGTCATCTAGTCCAAACCCCCCTCAAGCAGGAGACCTTGTACCATTCCAGACAAAGACAGTCCAATCTCTTAATATGGGATTAAAAACGTGACTTATGAACTTTTTTCACACTTACGATCATTGCAGCTTCCCCAGGGTCACATGATCAAAATTTGGATGCTTGGCAACTGGTTCATATTTATGAGGGTTGCAGTGTCTCCCAGGATCACGTGATCCCCTTTTGCAACCTTCTGACAAGCAAAGTCAATGGGGAAGCCAGATTCACTTAACAACGGGGTGATTAACATAACAACTGCAGTTATTCACTTAACAAGAAAAGTCACAAAATGGGACAAAACTCACTTAACAACTGCCTCGCTTTGCAACAGAAATTTTGGGTTGAACTGTGATCGTAAGTCAACGACTACCTGTACTCAGCCGGGTGGCTGGAAGCCCAGTGGTTGGATTCACAAAACCCACTAGGTGTGAAACAACTGGGTGTGTTGGTGGGGGGGCTTGCATGAGATGCAATCTGCCCATGCCTAGAGGAGCACTCGTTGCTGCCGCTGGCACAGAAATTCCTTTCCTTTGGAAAACTGGATGGGACCCAGGAAGAAAAGCAAAAAAAAAAAAAAAAAAGAGAGAGACCATCCAAAGGGCCTTCAAAGTTGCCCCAAATCAGAAATGCATTATTATCTGTATAGGAAAAGATAAAACCAGAAATTTATATGAAAATCCCAGGGTGGCTATCAACAATGGAAGCCTTTGCTCATCCAACTTAGTTAAATTAAAAAAAAAAAACATATAAGGATATTCTGAGTATAGAAGGGAAAATAAAATCTAAACAAGAGCCAGAAGACCAAGGCATTGACTTATCATGGTGGCCCCGATTGCAAACACAATCAAGGTATGGCAAAGATATTAAAACATATGGTTTTTACAAAGATCAGACAATGTTTGATCAGGTTGGCTTCTGATGAAAAAATGATTCAAAATTGTATAATTTTTTTTACTGAATTTAAAAATGGAAGATGAACAAGTGATAGAAATAATGATTATATGGGCAAAAAACTTCAGATATCATATAGAATTAGAGAAATAGCAAAATCTTTGGGAAAGAAACTATAAGATGACAATGGCTACTTCATATAAAGAAAATGTTTCATAGATAGCATCTTCCACCTGTTAGATTAGCAAAAATGTTTTAAAATATGTATATGAATGTTGGAAATGTAATCAAAATATTAGTACATATTAACACTTATGGTCGACATGTGAAAAAGCAAGAAAAACTTTGGACAAAAATACAGACTTGGTTAAAAAAGATGTACTTTGTAAGTTTCTACTGTATTTGTACATTGTGTTTTAACCCAACATCTGTGATGTCATAAGTTTTTTTTTTTTTTTAAAGTATTATTCGAGTACATACTTGTATTTTCCCCAAATAAGACCGGGTCTTTTTTTTTTTTCTTGCTTCCAAAAGAGGCACCAGATCTTATTTTCAGGGGGTGTCTTTTTTACTCACCTCCTGCATTGACAGCCCTGCCCAGCCGGTCAACTTCTTCTGTAGCCAAAGGAGCAGCTGCATTCTGCAGCTGCATTCTGGCCTGCATTTTGCAGTCAGGCCTTTCCGGAAGGCCTCTGCAGCTGAGTACCAAGCTGTGGATTCAATCCATAGCTCGGTTCTCGGCTGCAGTGCCTTTCCAGAAATGCAGGCCTGACTGTGAAATGCAGCCCTGGCTGCAGAAGATACCTCAGAAGAAGTGGACTGGAGAGGAGAACTCTGGCTGCAAGGTAATGGATGTGGGGTGCATGGGGCAGATCCACACCCCATGCTTTTTAGATATGTGCCTCACCCCAAAACTAGGGCTTATTTTTGGGGTAGGGCTTATATTAGGCCCACCATCAAAAATCAAGTCAGGGCTTGTTTTCGGGGTAGGCCTTACTTTCAGGGAATCAGGGTATCTATTTCTAATGCATTTGGACAACTATCGTATTTTTAACTTTTGTACAAATGAGTTCCATATTTTACTATATTGAATTAGATAACTATATATAGATTTTTATTTATTTATATACAGTATTAATTTAATTTTTATGCTGCCCGTTCCCCTCTAAAGCAACTCTCAGCAACTTAGAAATTTAACTATTTAGAGCTAAATATTTAGAACTGATCTATTATACAGATAGTCTTTGAATTCTGACTCACATTATCGACCCAAACATGGTTGGGCTATTTTAAAAGGCTTCATAGATGGGTTCCCAGCCAAGGAGGCATTTTTAGATACAGCCAGCTGAGGCCAGCTTTCCCACCTGGGCCCCTTAGAACCCGTGTTGGTAATTTATTGGGCCACAGTGTGGAAGTAATGCACTTTTGCTTCTTCCAGGCAGAGTAGAGATCTCTTTGTGTTCTCCTGTCCCTTCCACAGTCGATTTGGCCCAATTGTCTTAGAAGCCACTTGATGGCTGCTGCTCACTTGCCACGCTTGGATCCCAAGCCAGCCTTTGTGGAAAGCAGGCCATCGCAGCCTCTGAGCATGCACAGAGTTTATTTGCCTCTCTGCTCCCACTCTGCCTTCTTTGGCACCTGTTTGAACATGTACTTCTGGGAAGCCCGTAGATGACGAGATGGATCATAGTCTGACTCTGCCTGCAGCTGGGCAGCCTTGTCATCTCCTCAGCTCTGGTGCCAAGGTAGGGTACAGGGTCTCCTCTGTTGCAGGCTTGGGAGTCTCTATGGCTGGAGGAGTCATGGCCTCCTCAATTGGAGGGGCCAGGGATCCCTCGGCCGGACCCAGAGGACCCACAGAAGCGCAACAGCTGCAGGAGCCTTTGCAGGTCCTTCTCCATCGTGGCCCAGAGCTTCCCACGCAGCGGGTTTTCTGCTTGGTCATGTCTAAAGGAGGCAGGATCATTTTCCCCCTGAAGAAAAGGGGGTGGCGATCCACTCCTGGGATCCTCTTCTTTCCAGCTGGTTCTCAACCTCTCGGGATCTTTCGATTTCCAATGTTTTTTTTTCCCAGTGTTCCTTATTTGTTCTTTCAAATCAAAGCTCTACCTCTTAGTGTTTTAAGTATGAATATGATTGCCTCACCGTGGTGTTATGTATATGTATATGTAATAGTAGTAATAGTAGTAAAGTTGGAAGGGACCTTGGAGGTCATCTAGTTCAACCCCCTGCTCGGGCAGGAAACCCTACACTATTTCGGACAAGTGGCTGTCCAGTCTCTTCTTAAAAACTTCCAGTGTTGGAGCATCCCGAGAGGTTGAGAACCAGC